ATGACGAAATTTGCTTTTACCTCTTATCAGCTGGCTTCTAATGTGTGTCAAGTTTGCTTATCCGTAGTTTTAATTAGAAGCCAAAGATGTTCAGAAGATGCAATCACTAGAATGTTTTAATATACTAACCCTCTAATTATGAACTGATGGAGCTTTTTGGAATAAAAAGGCAGCTTTTCCTTACAGACCATTCCAATGGAGCAGCTCCTGAAAAGGAAAGATAATATTTCAGGGTTTAACTTGTTTTAAAAAGTTGATGTTTTATCATCGCTTCCATTCAACTTTAAATAGTTCAGAAAAGAGGCTATAAATGCCCATGTATTTCATGCCTTGCCCTCCAATTATTCAAGTATATAGGACACATGCTGTAATTCAGCTGCAACTAATATAAGCATTTCTTGAAAGCAAGCTTCAACACTACCTCCATATTACTCGATACCTGTTCTACAGAACAGTCAAAGCTTCAGGGCTTCTCTTCATGGAGAAGCTGACCAAAACAGCAACATCCAACAGTTGTTCTTCATAATTAGTGTACTTATTCCAAAATTTAAAAAAAATTATTCCAGAAAAATCACCATTTTCCCAAACCAAAGTAATAATTCTAAAATTAAAACAGCGTTTATTCCAGAAGTGTCCACACAAGGAGCTCTATTCTGAAATAGCCTTTGTAGATAGACTATTCCCACTACAGCTAATTCTACCCAGACAAAGAAGCATTAACAAATTACCCGTATATTGAGGTTTCATGTTCTATATAGGACACAATTTGTTTGCAATAATGAAATTAAGACTAGCCTAGTGAAACACCATGGCACTGATAGATTAAGCTCTTTTATTTGTATACCAAATAACACTGGATAATTCTTAAAACTGGGGCTATATTCTGACTGCCTGTAACCTGTTGCTTGAAAGGGAAATTCTGCCCCAGAGATTCGTTTCATTTCACACTGTGTACAGAGCATAACAAAACAAGGTGTTTGCTCTTTTCATCAAATATTCAGATATAATTAAATGGGCACTGACTCTCATTTCTAGTCAGAATTGCTGTGTATTCCACTCAATTTCTCTATGTAGACAAGACCCTAAACGAAGGAAATTCACCTCATCTGTTCCACCACTATACAAAAAAAGTGATTAAGATACAGCTCTTTAGAATTCAATCCCATTTTGCTAGTTTATACACACTTGGAACAAACAGTGAAGAAACACTTACTAGAAACATGAAGTACATGCCTCTTACCTACTATTTTCTGAACTGCAAAAAGTATTTCATTTTCACTGCATTGCAAATATTTCCAGATTGGGTGAGAATCTCACCCTACTGGGTTGACTGGTGTTTCAATTTTGGATAAATTCCTGCTTGCGTCAAGTATTTTACCACTTGTGGTAGCCTGGCAGCACATAAAAGTTGGTGGAGAGCAAACACCACCTCCAGCCAACAGACTGGTGAGTGAAGCAGGCTCACAGAATATTACTGGAACTGGAGGACAGCTGGTCATTAGCAAAAAGAAGAGAGCAGTTCATTCTGCTAAATCCCCTGCCTAAATCTGGATTAGCCACTACACAAAAAACAAACATTTTTGGAAACAATGCTGCAATGATATGCTGCAGAAATTGCAAAAGCAAGCAAAACATACACGGACACCTTAATGCAAGAGTAGCGTATGCTTTACACTGTATTTGAATTTATTATATAGTTGTGGCCAGAAGCCCAAGTCAGGATCTGGGTCCCACTGTTTGAGTACATAAGCAAATTCTTTAGAGAAATGTAAGGAAGCATCTGTTTAGTTTGATGACAGGACTGAGCACTAAAGAAATGGTTTCATTCATCACAGGATTGTGAGCCAATTCCAGATATTCTCTGCTCTCCCTTCTCTTGCTGCCTGTGGTTGTATTAGTGCCATTAATTTAAGTTCTGGCTAGTGCAAGGCATTAATTGGCAACCTTGGATATGGAGTTATTCTAGAGAATAGGATTGGAACAGGCACGTCTCTTTATATCCTCATGGTCTTGCCAACATACCTGAACACCAATCTGCAGGGGCCCCTTATAAGACTCAGAAGAATCAGCCTCCACACCTTTCAACCTTGGGCTCCTATCAAGATTGTTACCAAAAATCCTAATTGGCATTAGCTGTGGTTTGTCTGAAGCAGAGAGCTACCCAATAAGAACTGAACCCAGGCTCCCAAGCTCAGACGGCAATTACCACACACCACAAATTACTACCCCTTGACTTGTGCTCCAATCTTGGAGCTATTTTGCTCTATGCTTGCACCCCTTCCTATTTTGCTGTATGCACTGCTACAACATAATGTCAGCAATAGGAAATTCAATTTCTGTGAAGCTCCTGAGCAGTGCAGGCAAGTCTCCACAGAAATACAAAGTTAAAATCCTTGTAGGTGAATAACCATCACAATTAAAGCTTAATCATGACACTTTGCTGGTTATCCAATTTCCCAGCTCATTCAAATGCAGGAAACATAATCCTTGGAGCTGTCCAGAATTGTGCCACAGACTTCTTTTAAAAAAAAAAGCCCAAACAAGTTTCAAACACCAATTTGTTTAAGGAAAACACTGCCTCTTTGTCTATGTCCCACAAGCCAAGACAGAAATTAAACACCTGGTAAGTTATTAGCTGTAAACCATCCACCTCACACCAGCAGCCCCTTTCTATTACTAAATGCTCCAGAGTGTTTGTAAGCCCGACGCTAGCACTGCGACGCTCCCACGACCAGCGGAGCAGCAACCGCCCCTTCCTCCAGTGCACACGCGCCACCCGGTCTGACACGCAGCAACACAGCCCTGGCCCCCACTTCTGCGCCACAGGGAGATGCAGCAGGAGCAGCCACTGCCCATTCCTGCCGCACGCTCATCTGCTGCAGGACGGGCACAACAGGGCTGCCGCCAGGGTGGGCTGACAGGGCAGCAGCACAGACCCTGTCCCCTCCCTACACTGCCTCTGCCCAGCCTGTGCCCACATCCCCACAGACGGGAGACAGGGACTAGCCACCCTTCCGCCCAGCCCCACTGCAAGGCCAGGCCCGGGCCCAGTGCCCTGCCAGCCTAAGCTCATCCCCAACTCCCTAGACCATACCCACCCCCCCTTTACCGCCCCAGCCCATGCCCACCTCCCGCCTTGCCCAACCCCCC